CTTACTTCCAGTAATTTAATGTTTACTTATTTGTATTATCTGAAATACACATAAAAGAATAATAAACCTACTAAGAAGTTTAAGTTTTCATTTGTAATTTTTTTTGACCTTAGACTATATAGACTATATGTGTTCAAAAATACTTGAATTACTTCTTCTGTTTGGTAGTGTTGGCATTTTGAGTATACAGATAGGCTTATTTTTCTTATTTGTTTTCAATTTTTAAATTCCCTTTTTAAATCTTTTTTGTTTACTTCTCTCTTTTTTTGGTATGTAAAAGCATTTGACTCAGAACTATATACAGAGGTGTATTTGTCCTTATCCCTTTCACACTGTTCCCACCTACTCCCTTTATAAATGTAACCATTTTCATTATTTTCTGGTTTCTTTTCTTGTTTTAAAGATTTTTATTTATTTGAGAGAGAGAGAGTGGGGGCTGGGGGAAAGCAGACTCCCCGCTGAGCAGGGAGCCTGATTCGGGGCTCCATTCCAGGACCCTGGGATTATGACCTGAGCGGAAGGCAGATGCTTAACTTACTGAGCCACCCAGGTGCCCCTGGGTTATTTTCTTTTTGAAAAAAAAAAAAAATATATATATATATATATATATATATATGTATATTCTCTTTCCTTTTTCCCAGAAATGATAAGTTACTATTTTGCACTTTTTTTTTTAAGTAGTTTACCTAGAAATCATTTCATATCAGCTCTTTTTCCCCCATGGGTGTATAGAACTCCTTTATGTGGATATGCCGTAATTTAGTTAACCTGTTTTCTATGGATGTGTATTTGACTTGTTTCTGATTTTGCTATATCAGATAATGCTAATATAAAGAATCTTGTGCACATGATGTTTTTGAATCTTGGAGATGTATTTTTTTGGATAATTCCTAAAACTGGGGATTGTTGGGTCAGAGAGTAAAATGTATATGTCATTACGATAGCCACATTCCTCTTCTTAGGGGTTGTCTGTTTTGCATAACCATCAGCAGTGTTGCAAATGCCTGTTTATGGGAATTACTTCATCAATATCAAATATTGTAAATTTCTACATGATGAGTTGTTTTTTTAGCAAGTGGTATATCAGCAGGGTGCCTATGGGAAACAGCTGATAGACTCAAAATAGGATAATTTAAGGAAGTTTTATTTACAGAAACTAATTACAGAGGTGTGTGCAAGATACTGGAGAATCACCAGGGTTGGAACAGGATCCAGCATCAGTAAATCTGTTTTCACTCCTAAGCTCAAAGGGACCAGGGAAAGGAAGGGTTATAGGAACCTAAAAGAGCAATTACTGCTCAGCTGACTGCCTTTGGTCCAAGAAGAGTCTAAGAAGAGTCCACAGGAAAGGAACCAGGAAAATACATAACTTCCTTCCTCTGACTTCCTGCTGGAGTTCAATTAAAGGGTACAGGAGTGCCTTGATGTATTTCATATAGGTCAGTTTTCCTTGGGCAGAGAGTAGTATGGAGAAGGGTGGAGAGTAAATCTGAAGGGACAAGCAGAAGTTATCCAGTGCATGTACGCACATACAGATTCATGGACCTTTGAAATAACTATGTAAACCAGAGGTTTACAACCTCTGTCTTAATCTTTTTTCCTAGTAAGGCTAAGTGCCAGCAGTGTGTGGCTGATTTGTGTTTTATATGAATGCTACTTTCCACTCTGAGATTACGCTTTTTTTTTAAAAAGATTTTATTTATTTGACAGAGAGACACAGCGAGAGAGGGAACACAAGCAGGGGAAGTGGGAGAGGGAGAAGCAGGCTTCCCACTGAGCAGAACCCTGGGATCCTGATGTGAGCCGAAGGCAGACGCTTAACAACTGAGCACCCAGGCGCCCTGAGATTACTCTTAAAAAAAAAAAAAATCCATGAGCTCTGATTCTCAATTTCAATATTTTTCAACAGTGCTTCTCAATGCACTTTAAAAAAATACAGGGCCAAATAGTCTTTATCCTCAGATTTCTCTCTAAATAGCTTCATAGCTCTCTTTTCCCCCTTAAAAGACTAATATCCAAAGTAATTTTAGATACTTCACACTATCGTGTTGCCAGTATCTGTCGGGAAGAAACAGGTGTCTGTTAACTTCTTTCTTCTGATATTTTATGAGACCGTTTCATTATAAACATTGTATTTGGAGTTGGGCATTATCTGTGTCATAAAAAAAGGCTTTATGGCCCCAATTACTTCTGAATGGGAGTTAATAACAAGCCTTCTCAGTGATTCAGAACCATTGTATAGTTACAGCATCTTGTATTTTTGAGTATGTTTTTTAACCAAGTGGATTCTATTGCATAATCCAACTGTTTTAAATTTTGGTAGATTGCTAAGTGATTTAACCTCTAATTTCACCTTTCACCTATATTAGCAATAGCTTCTTGGTAAGTGCCATATGTTTCCTCTTGTTTAATAATATTATCTCCTCTCTAATATCAGGTAAGCCCATTTTTATTTTAGTTTTAAAATGTAATATCCATCGCACTACTTTTTAGGATTTATTATCATAGATCACATTTTAGGAGCTAAGCTCTAGGACTTATCCCACTTTTCCCTAATTTTATAGTTAGAGCAAAGTAGTTCCTTGGCAACCTAATCAACTTTATAGATAAAATTTACTCTGTTATTATTTCATTTTTCCTCTTAAGTCTGTTTGAATTAATAGTTTCAATTACAAACTGTTTTTATTTTTAAATAGCACTTTTTATTTTTTGAGCTCTAAAAATTACTAATTTTTAAAATACAACAGTTATAACTAAACCAAATTTCTTATTCCTCCTGATGGGAGGAGTTATTTTTCATATTACCTGAATGATTTAATGAGAAGACTTTTTAATATGTTACTGACAATTTCTTTTCAGTGAATATGACATTAACATGTCTCTTCATTAACCAAAAGTCTCAGCTGTCTTCTCATCATTTTGAACATTATAACCATTCTATAATAATGAAGATATGGAAGGCATAGGAGATTGGGTTCAAAATTCATTCGTTGATTTCCTCAGATAAGCCTCTGTTTACTGTCTTCTTTTGTAGGCCCTACAGATTCAAAGATGAATAGCGCAGTCACTGCCCACAGACATATAAGCAAATGTAGTGTAATAAGGGAAAAAATATAAACAATATAGTGTGGTAAGCATTATAATCAGTGTATGCCTAAGGAAGGTGAGTGACACAAAGCATAAGTAACATTTCTTGGGAGGGTGCCAAGGAAGACTTGTTAGAGGAGGAGACATAGTAAATGTTTAATAGGTGAATGAACACTAATAATATAACACATATAAAAGATATAGTTCTATGCTGCAGCCTGTAAAATTCTATTATTTAAAGATCAGTTAGCAAGAAACTTAGATAATTGAAAATGCAACTAATATTATGAGGTTATAAAGCATATGTGAATTGCTAAGTGAATGATAACAATAACTAGCATTTATTGAAATACTCTGTAATACAGATTACATGTCTGATTGCATATAGTCCTCACTAACTCTTTTAGATAGGTATTAAGTCCATTTTACAGATAAAGACACTGAGACTGAGGCATAATAATTTCCTGGAAGTCACACAGCTAAAATATGGTGGATCCAGGTTCTAAATTCAGGCAGGTCAACTTTAGAAAAAGTGCTCTCAATGCTATATATTTTAAAAAAAAATGAACATTAAGACCCATGGGAACCCAGAAGAGAAAGAAAATCTTGCATTGAGAGCATTTGGAGAAGAGTTACAAATTAGATAGATGATGGATCATGAAGAATATTCCAGGCATGGGTGTTGGCATAAATAAGTGTTCACTGGCAAAGTTTACTTGAAGAACAAACCAGTATTATTGAGTAGTCAGGTCATGTAGGAGTATCAGGGAAAATCAGCTTGGAAACTGAGGGTGGGATGGGAGCCATCTCTCATGGATCCTGAAAATGAGTGTAATCTGTACTTCATCCAGGAGAGAGCCACTGAGGTTGTGGGAGTAGGGGAGTAATACAGGAGTCAGTGTAACATAATCATTTTCCAACTTTGTGATGTTGAGTACGTAAGCTTACTATTCTTAGGCTCCTTTTTCTTATCTATAAAATGAGGATGATATCTGCAGAGGTTAATTTGTAAAGCCTGATATATAGCAAGTATTGAGCAAATGTTACATCATATTACTATTAATTGATTTGTTTCAGTAAATTTAATCTGAGAACAGTGCATAGTAGCCTAAGCCTATACCTCAGGCCATTAGTTGAGAAACTCTTGAAACATAGTTGTAACAGATAAATGGAAAGGGAAGGGACAGATTACTAGGAATATTTTAGATAAATAATATTAACTTTTTATGTAGCTTTAAAAAAATCTTTATATGGTTCTTTATGTTTCATAGTATTCATGTGTTCATTACTGTATCAGTAGTCAACTCACAACTGAATGTAACTGTATAATTTACAAAGCACTTTGACATGTTATTGAATTTTATTCTCAGAACCAGAACCATTCTATAAGATATTATTGCCAGGCCAAGAGAGGTTAAGTAAGTCATTGAAGATCATACAAGTTAATGAAAGTATCAATTTAATACTTGAATTTCCATATACCTATTCTAGTGCTTTCTCTTTTATGTCATATTATGGCAAGAACTGATATAGCAGGCAACAGTATGAAAAACTATTATTACTACTTTGAAAGAGTTAATATCTTTTCTTAGGTATCTATATTAATAACAAGAAAAAATCAAAGCATGAAGGGAGACAGATAAAATCAGAGTCTACTAGTTATCTAATTTATATGTAAACCCAGTGATATTATCTGAATATAATCTCTGTTCAGTAGATCAAAATATTAAGTGGCTTTAATTTGCCATTTAAAATATCATTAAGACAAATGAAAATAAGCGCTTGCTTTTCTGCACCAAACTGTATTAGGCATTTACTATCATTCTGGGTGATTGTAAATATTTTACAGTTGAGCTATTTCTTAAGTGTTTTAAATAGTATTGATTATGAAACTTTTTGAAATTTACCATCAGGCCAGTGGTAGCAGAATCTGCATAGAACTATGCTCCGTGGTGTTCTGGGAAAAACCTTTCGACTTGTTGGCTATACTATTCAGTATGGCTGTATAGCTCATTGTGCTTTTGAATACGTTGGTGGTGTTGTCATGGTAAGTTTTTACATAAAAGAATAATTTTAAGTATGTACTTTTTTTTATTGAAGGAAAATGTGTTTTTCCTTTATTTTAATTGAAGTCATTTAATGACTAAAATGTGACTATTAAAACATAAAATCTTTCTAAATTGTGGGATGTAAGAGACTGTGTTGGAATTAGCACTGGTATAAAATTAAGAACCATTACTTCAAATATGGTTCTGTATTCTGACAGGGGCCGTATTAATCCCTATTAATAATCTAATAATAGTTTTCATCATTTATTGATTTCTACTTATTGTGTTCCAGTGATGTTTGATGTTTTATATATATTAGCTCATTTAATCTTTTCCACTCTGTGAGATACTTAATTAGAAATCCATTATACATATGAGGAAACTGAGGCTCAGAAAGCTTAAGTCACTTACTTCAGGTTCCACAATTAGTAAGCAGATTTGGAATTTCAACACAGATTCTCCGATTTTCAAAACTCCTGCTCTTAACCAGTTGTGTTTAACTTGTCATTAAAACAAATGATTATTCTGCTTGATGTCAATATTAAAATGCTAAGGCTGCCCCCCAACCAATGCTTTTTCTAAATATTGCATAATAAATCTGTCAACTGTGACTGTACTGATCTTTTGTCAGGTAAATGAAAGAATAAATTGAATGCCCAGTGAGTGGGTTTTGTTGGTGGTATTGCTATTTTTATCAGGTTTACCCTAAGGGATTCACAGTCATACAACCTCAAATTTAGCTGGAGAAATGCAAATAAATATATTTAACTGAGTCTCCTCTTTTTTTTTAATTTACATTCTTACTTCCAATGGGCTTACAGAGGTAGCAGACATAAACTTTCATTGTGTTCTTTATTATTTGTGCCTCAGTAGGAGGTTTTGAGTAAAAAGTTTTATCAACGCCTAAGTGAAGTCAATGGAGACTGTTGTATTTAGATATTTTAAGTGGTAATGATCATTTATTACAATTTTGAGGTATATATGAAGATCATTGTTTTAACACATTCTAATAGAAAGTTTTTAAAGTGCATCTCATTATGCCACTGTTTTTTCAATAGAAAATGAAGTTGCAGCCCCATCAAATGAGTAAGCTATTCTGTTGGAAGAGAACTCGAGGCACGAACTTGTTGAGAATAGTATGATACTACTTAATAAATTACCATCATGGGCACTGGATATTTGATAATAGCAAGAAAATAAATAAATCATCCATTTATTTTTTCAAATATTTATTATCAGCTTTATGACAAGCACTCTTTTTGGCATTGGTTATATAACTGGGAACATGAGTGATAAGGTCCCTGACCTCATGGAGCTTACATTATACAGGATGATCAAAATTTGGAAACTAGATATTTTATTCATATATTATAATGTATTCTTAGTAAACTATTTTTAATATTTTTGCCTGTGTTTCCAGATCTGGTGGCCACTGTGTAGGGTTGAGCTTATCTAGCAGCTTCCAACTTATAAATCATCCTCCAAACTTGAAGAATGTTTGTTTGATTTTCTTTCTTACAAGCCTGTTCAGATAATTTGTTACATTAAAAAAAGGTTCAATTCAAATTAAAAAATTACCTCTCTTTTCAGTGTTCTGGACCATCAATGGAGCCTACAATTCAAAATTCAGATATTGTCTTTGCAGAAAATCTTAGTCGACATTTTTATGGTATCCAAAGGTAAATTTCTGTCATAGATATATTAAAGTTATAGTGAAAACATGTATACACATTGTGTCTTTTTTGTAGTTTATCTTTAAAAACTCTTTTTTAAATAACCAAACTAATGGCCAGCTAGTTAAAATTTTAATTCAAATATTTTCTCTCAGTTTGAGAAATTTTAATAGTTTCTGTAGACATGCACAGTCTTTTGGGTCCTTGTGTCCCTTGCATTATTGACTGAAATAGAACAGCAGTCCCTTTTATAATGTACGATCAAGCCTACTTTACTTTTGGTCGGGGGGTGGCTCTACAGAGTTTTGAGTGAAGAACCTAGGGACTTAGGAACTACATTACATACCAAATCAGTGATTGGTCTTTACATTTTTTAATACTGTATTTCTATTGATGACTGTTTTATTCTCGACAGCTTATGATGAGCACCTGATCTTTAGACAACAGCACCATATATAGCTGGGAGCCAGGAATCGTACCTATCCCGAGTCCCCCGATTGATTAAATTGAAAAACTCCTTACAAATACTGTTTGCCACTAAGTTTTTTTTTTTTTAATTAACATATAATGTATTATTTGTTTCAGGGGTACAGGTCTGTGATTCATCAGTCTTACACAATTCACAGCACTCACCATAGCACATACCCTCCCCGATGTCCATCACCCAGCCACCCCATCCCTTCCACCCCCCACCACTCCAGCAACCCTCAGTTTGTTTCCTGAGATTAAGAGTCTCTTATGGTTTGTCTCCCTCTCTGGTTTCGTTTTGTTTCATTTTTCCCTCCCTTCCCCTATGATCCTCTGTCTTGTTTCTCAAATTCCACAGCAACTAAGTTTTTAAAAATCCTATTCTAAATGGTGTTTCCAGTCCCTGTGATACTGTTTATTCTACTTAACTGTATATTATTCCTTCTGAGTCAATGTCAAGTATTAGTAATTTAATGTATTTTCTAAAGGGCACCTCTCTGATTCCCTAAAATTTTGGGTTCATTAGTTTTTCATAATTCTGAAAAAATAATACCACCTTTTCATTTCCATAAACTTCAAATTTGGCTCACTAGAGTTGGTATTTAGCTTATGGTATAAGTAAGTTTAAGCACTCCTCTTTCATTATTTGCCTTTTCTGTAGTCTGTTTCACATTACCTAAAAGTCATCAAGAATGGTGTAAAACTGTTCTTCGCATTTTAGATTCTGTAAATAGAAGTTATCTCTTGGTCAAGCTGTATAGTCTAGCATCGTCCCTAGGTAAAATTCTCCTTCACATCTTTTACTCATAATAATTTCAAGACACCTAATTGATAATTATGGGGTTATAAAATAAGACTTACATAACAGGTTGTGTTCTAGCTTTCTTTTCTTTTTAAGTTGTATCCAAATCACTTCATACAGTCTTTGGATTAACTGGAGGCCTAGCATCACAGCAGCATGAAGATAAGCTGCTGTTTTCCATGCTAATGACATGATTTTACTCTTAGTCCTTGAGCATCCTTAACAAGGAGCTGAACTTGTTGGCTAAATAGATTGTGAATGAATAGCTCAAAATCATCTTTTTTTTTAAAATAGATAATCTTTGCATTCAGATGGGTAATACAAATAACTACATTCAGTAAGTTAATTAAGATTCTTGGAAGGTTTCATTTTGTATTTGGTTCAATCAAGGGGCCCTTAGATTGAAGGACAGCTTAAAATCTGGCATTTATATGACATATACCAAATAACTTTTACAACCAAGGTTGTCAGTTGGCAAGTTTACCTTTAAAAATAGTACTGTTCTGAGTATTCTTTTTCTTTTATCTGTAGCACAGAACTCCTGAGATTTCAGGGGAATCTCTGATGACTCTTGGCAAGAGATCCATTAGCTAGCTGCTTGTTTCTAAAGCTAGAATAGCCATCCATTTAGGAAAAATGAAAGTCTGCATAACTGGTATCTAAAGCACATGGATCTCTTTTCAGTTAAATGCACAGAACACTTATATTTAAAAGAGTCTCTTATTACTATTACTACTTATTCTTTCACCAAATAGTTAATGAGCACCTAATTTATAAGATATGCAGTACAGAGAATGTTGAGATGAATAAGATACTGACCCTTTTCCAAAAGCTTACAAGTTAGTTGGATAATAAGCATGTTTATAACTATAAATGAGAAAGGAAAATTTCTATTAAGTTCCTTTTAAAACCCTATTTGAAAGAGTTGAGAAACCAAGGAATAATTACTTTGATCTAAGCTCTATACGTATATCTAGTTAGACTGATTGGGTGCCTGGCTGGCTCAGTCAGTAGAGCATGTGACTCTTAATCTTAGGGTTGTGAGTTCAAGCCCCACATTGGGTGTGGAGCCTACTTAAAAAAATAAATAATTTTTTAAAAATAATTAAATATTTTAAAAAAGCTACCTTGACTGAATTATGATTTTTATGTTGCCATGTAAGTACAGAATTTAAGGATCATATTGATTATTTTGTTAAAAAATGTAAGCTGAATAAAACACCCACAGAAAACATTTCTTTCCCCAAAGCTAGCCAAAATCAACTTTGTTTAGTGTGTAATAATCTTTGCAAACTTGTTCATCCGAAAGTTCCACTGGCATGGTTCCATTTGGTTGAAAAGAGACTAGTTTATCCCATTTCAAAAAAAGGGCAGCCTTATATTACATGCAAATATGGAATTGAGTGTTTTAATAGCTTTCAACTCTAACCACAAGAAATTATCATTCCCCTGAATACTATTACTGTAAAATTTCTGAGGAGGATGGTGTCTATATTATTACCTTACATGAGAATCCTTCTTGTGTATTCCTCTTTGATTTAGGTGTTTAAGACAATTTTGTTTTACCTCCCAAACTAAACTTTGTTAGTTAATCATTCCTGTGTAATTAATCAGATTTTCATTTTTGACTTGGCTACCAAAAGGTTTAGAACTCTTATTAATACTTATATATAGCGATAACTAGGTTTCTTATTTGACTGTCATTTTCCTTTTATTTTTATGGCTTTTGATATTTTGATATATGCACCTTTTATTATAAGTAACATCAAATTATTTATGGAACTATGTACAGATAATATAGATAATTAAATCCTTTCAAATATGTGTGTTAGTCGACAGAATTCACTTACTACTCATTTTTTTTCAGAAAGAGTGTTGTGTTCTGTTTGGTGAGCATTTAGTCCTATTTTGTCTCCTTCCTCCATTTTGCCTCCTTCATTTACACTTTTAAAGATTTTTCTTTTTCTTCTAATACATGTATATTGTTACTTCTCCCATGAATCATGCCTTCTACATGTAATCATACCCATGTTGGTAGTATATGTTTGATATACCAATTTACTTTTTGTAGTATACGTTTGGGCAGCTTTTAGCATTTTATTTGGCTGTGTCTTCTGATGTTCTTCCTCCAAAAGAAGTTTTTTTTGACTATACTGTAAATTATCTTGTTATTTATATGCTGTAATTCGATTCTTTGAGCTTTAGGGAAATATTTATGCTGTTCCTATGTTTTTATGTGCTCTAGAGTCAATCAGTATTAATGGCTGGACAGTAAAATTTACTTAATTTGGTGGTACTTATGTGAAATTGCTTTTCTATAGTTTTGGTTCTAAAAATTTGGATACAGAAGTAACACATAGTGGATAAAGTACAAGAAGATGGTTGTTATGGAATTACCAGAAATTTTAAAATCTTCTAATAGCTTTTCCACTACTCCTGTTGGATTCTGACCCATAAAACTCAGTCACAAAGTTTCTCAAAGCTGGTAAATATATGAGAGGGTCAATATGTGAGAGGATAAAGGGTGTGGCTTTGTTTAAGTTATAAAAGTAGTATAGCAGTGCCATCCATGTATTTATGTTTAATAAATAACACTGACCTTTCTTTGACTTTTTTCCCCTCAGAGGTGACATTGTGATTGCAAAAAGCCCAAGTGATCCAAAATCAAACATTTGTAAAAGAGTAATTGGTTTGGAAGGAGACAAAATCCTCACCAATAGTCCATCAGATTTCTTTAAAAGCCATAGTTATGTAAGTAACATTTTAATTATTACTCATTGATTAATATTAACGGAACACACTGACAAAAGAAAATAACTTTAATTCACATTTTGAATATAAGTTAGAATGCTGCATTCAGTAGAATTTAAGTATGTTTGTATCCAGAACAATTTGGCCATTATATTTTATATATTTTAGTTTCTTTTAAAACCATATATAAATATCTCAATAATTGTTGCAGGCAGGATTCACCAATGGATGTCAAAATTTTGGGCAAAAGTTTGAGAAAAATAGTTTATTTGCACGGTCTCAAGGTATCTCTTTCAAGATATTACAAAGGGACAAATAGTAGTTGGTAGAGGAGAAACTAGCAGACACCACCTTAATTAAGAGTGATCAAGGTTATCTTCACCAATAAAAAGACATACCAACATAATGTAGCCCCTGAAATGAAGCATTAAGAAAGGCACATCACATTTGTGATATTTTTGCAAAATAAGTGTAACCTCAGTCTAATCATGAGAAAATATCAGACAAACCCTGAGTGTCATTCTGCAACATAACTAAAACTCTTTCAAAAATGTCAAGGTCATGAAAAACAAGGAAAGACAAAAATTGTCTTAGATTGGAGAAGACAAAGGAGACATGCCAGCTAAATGCCATCTGGGATCCTGGCTTAGAAAATTTTTCCACTGACTTGTTAGTGGCAAATCTGGTAAAATCAAAGTCTATAGTTTAGTCTTTTTAAATCCTACTTAAATTTTTAGGCTAGAAATTGTATATACCTTGCTCTAGTCAACTTGACTATCTAGTTTGAAGAAGAAAGCAAGAGCAGCAGGATGGACGAGTGAAGAGCAGATGTAATTTTAGCTCCTCTCACTGATCACATGGCTGCCATGACAGAGCTTATGGCAGGGGAGGGTGGCCTTTTGTTTACTCAGCATATACTTGTCTTACCTTAATAATTAAACTTAGTTTTTTACTTTTCTTTAAATTTTCTGTGTCACCCTCAAATTATTGATGCAGCTGTTAGATCTGTTAACTAACTTTACCTCTATTTTCATCGCCAATATAAGCAAATAATTAAGAGTTAAATTGTCTTGATCATTGTGTATTTATTTTGAACTATAATAGCCTCTGATTGCCTTGTAAGTTTGATCAATAGATTATTAAATCTGTTATTTTTGTACCATCATAATAGATTATGGTTCAGCAGTGCAAATGTTTTTAATGTTTATTACCACAGTGCTAAATATACTAGTAATTGTTAGCTGATGGTGATAATGTTGAAGGTGATAGTGTGGTATCAGGTAACCTACTTTTCTATGACCTTCATCATGGACATTGTATCCTTTTATTCTTCAAAAATGTCAGAATTTTACACAATGATTTCACCTTCATATGACTGTTAACATTTCATGAGACATTCTAGTCATTTTTAAGTTGTTTTAGCAACAAGCATATACTCAGGTAGAAGTATCGATAGGTAGAACATACCCATATCAGTAGGTAGAACAACAAAACATATAAGTGATGGCATCTGCTATCTGGGTACTTAAACACCACACAATTGTTGTTTTCTTTTTAAGATTTATTAGAGGAAGAATATCAGGGGATTAGATATTTACTAAGTAATCTGAGAAGACAATCAGAGGACTATAAGATGTAAATTTTTTTGAATATTCTATTTAAGGAAAATATTCATTGAATTTTTATGTTCAATGAATGGATAAATCAGAGGACCCTGCTATATTGTTCTAGGTATATTCCAGTCACTTTGGTTTGCATGTTTATAAATGACAGACATAATTGTAGTACTATTGGCCAACATTTATTATATATTTCATCTGTACCAGATACTGTTGAAACTCTTCACAAGGGTTAATTTATAATCATCACAATAGCAACCCAATAACATAGGTAGTGGACAATGGGGAGGTTAAACAGATTGCCCAGTTTCAAACAGTGAAAAAAAAAAAAAGGTTGGAATTCAACACAAGTAGCCTGGCTCCACAGAGAATTTATATTCCTTACCATGCTACTACTACTTCTCCCAAAATATTCTCTACTGATTATTATTATTTATACTCCCATCTCATCAAATTGTACTTCCCTTAAAATGTATTTGTCTTCATTATTTTTTAAAAAGAAAGGGAACTATTTCTGATCAGGGACAGTATTGGTCCTAAAAGAGAAGCCAGTGATTTTTTGAAGACTTCCCTACCTCCACCAGTTTTTCTAGGCTGGGTTTTTTGAGCAACAAGAATTGTGTAGTTATTATAGAACCACTTTAGCAAATGTGTTCCATTAATCAAGGTGATTTATAACAAAAATTCATCCAAGTTTGGAGCATTCTGAAGAGATATCCAAACCTTTGCAGGGTCTCCTCCTCTAGAGGGTTCCCTTTTTCAGTTATCTCTGAAGCACACTGGTGCTGTATTTTATGAAATGGGTTCTTTCCTTTACCGATGTATCATCTTAGAAAAATCGTTGTTTATGATGAAGACATTACTATTCAGATCTTGATTGAGCTGCTTGGTAAAGATGATGAATGTTAAATGTGTTTTGAATTCCAGGCCTTCCCCCCCCCGCCCCCCCCAAAAAATTCTCCTAAGTAGGTGTTTGGGAAAGAAAACACCAAAATTGTCATTTGGAACCTAGAACATAGAGTTTAGCATATGAAAGAAATAGCATTGTTCCTAAGTTGGCAAAAAAGAATATAAACAGACATTGGTTAAGTGATGTGGAACCATTTTATTCAGTCTGGAGTTCTAAAAGTCCATGTGGCAGCAATACTTAACAAACCATGATTTCTTTTTTACATTAAGCATTTGGAAACTGAGCAGTCCCTATCAGGTGCTGTTGCAGTGGGTTTTGCTCATTTCAATGGTATTGAGGCCAGTAATTCTTGCTTTGGGTTATGGGCTAAGCATTGGCTACTAGGATATGAGCTTAATTTGTGACTTTCAAAAGAAATATATACTCAGCTCAAACATCTTGAATAAATTGCCTTTCTATTATAAGAATTCCTCAGTTTGAAGTTAAAAGCCACTAATTTGCCAAAAATAATTTAGTTGGAAATAGAAGCATTTAGCAAATAGGAAATACAAAAAATGAATGGTCATTATCCTATTGATTTGCACAGTAGGCAAAATGCAGTGTAAAAGCCTATATATTGTAGTTTCCATTTTCCTAAGGAAAATAGGGCCAGGGCTCAGGTAACCTGGTGAAATTTTGTTATAAAGTTAACGAAAAGATGGAGAAAAACACTTTATAATTTTTCTGAAGGTAACACTGTGTGATAGTCCAGGGCTCTGATTTTAATCCATGGTGTAACTGTGGTACAGTTTAGGCATTTTGCAATGTAGTAAGTTCCTATCAGCAAATATGCTATAAAATTTACCATATAAACAAACTCCTTTGACACTACATCCTCCTATAGGAAAGAGTTGTGTCTACTTATTGAACTTCCTATTCTTTCTTGAGCTCATTCCTGTTACGTTTTGGTCCCCACCACTTTACTGAAACAGTTCTTGTCAGGGGTCCCAACTGTTAATCTGTCCAGTGGTCAACTTCAGTCCTCATTTTACTTGACCTGTTGTTAGTATTTGAAATATTTGTTCTCAAAACGTGGTTTCACTTAGTTTTGGGGACAGCACATTCTCTGGGTTTTTTTCCTTTCTGTTTCTTCTGAGATTCCTTTTTTGGTTCCTCCAAACTTTGGAGTAACTAAGGGTTCATATTTTAAACTGCTTCTCTTGTTCATATACACTCACACATTAGGTGGCCTCATGCTTTTAAATACTACCTAACTTAACTCCCAAATTTATATCAACTACAACCTCTTTCCTGAACTCCAGAATCCTATATCTAATAGTCTGCCTACTATCTCTACCTTAGTATACAATGGGCACTTCAAACTTAGTATGTCCAAAACCAAACTCCTGATCTTCTTTCCCAAACTGGCTCCTCCCACACATATCCCCATCACAGCAATGGCAACTCCATTCTTCTGCTTGCTCTGGTTATAAATCTTGGAGTCTTCCTTGACTCTTTTCCTCTTTCACTGCACATCCAATCCATTAGCAAATCATGGTGGCTGTATTTTTTAAATATAATCAGAATTAGACCACTTCTTGCTACTATCTCTGCTACCACTGGGGTGCAAGACAAATTCATATCTTGTTTTCTTTCAATAACTTCTGAACTGCTCTCTGTTTGTACCATTCCCACTTTCTTGTTTTTCTTTTTAAAAATTATATATATATGAATAACAACATCATTATCGTTATTGGCAGAGATCTAAGCAATAGAAACAGTTTTACATTTCAGAAAGAACTGATTAAATTGTTCTCAGGATAAAAATACAGTGTTTTTAAAAGTTGTAAATGGGGGCAATATGCCAGTGATAAAGGTGTTTGACAGTATACTGGAAAATATTTTTGAAAAACTGATCAGCAAACTGAAAAACTCACTAATTGAACAGCTTTAGAAAATGGTCAGCGTATATTAACACTAATAGCCCCTTAAAGTGTACTGTGTATTTAGGTTATAGTTCAGATCCTTGAATATCCTAATGCTGTTTTTGTTTGTTTAAATGTCATTTACTTTAGCTAAAAGTCACAACCATATGGTGTTCTATTACCACTTGTATTATAAACACAAAAAGTACTCATGTGTAGGGAAAGGAGTCATCAGGTTGAAAGGGCTTGTTTATTATAAGCTGCTGATACACTAAATCCTTATGTCATTTAAATAGAAGAACTACCTAATAATGTCACTCATTACAACTAGGATATCTAAACAAGGGACTTGCTTTTTGCAGACTATAGTGATAAAAACCTGTACTACACATCCATTTCTCAGCAACGGGTCCCAGGATAATCAATCATGGCATACTGCTAATGCCTTGATTGCAGCTGATGTGGAGGAAATATGTTTACTCTCTTGCTAAAAATGAGGTTCACTGCGGAGATGACATGACTTTTTCATCCTATAGCTAACACAATTCTGAAGATAAATTTGACTTA